CCCCGGACACACACAAAACCCCCAAACCAATCTCCAAAAATATCTTAACAAAATAAAATAGACCTACAGAAATACCCACAGTTCAACATAGTGGTACACTGATAAAAAAACATCCACTGCAATGATAAATAGGTAAATGGACATAAAAATGCAGGCCAGTACATATTATGTAATTAAATGGTTGTAAAAGCATGGTTATTGTTGACGACTCACAATAAGAAAAAGAATAAGTCTACCAGTCGGAGAAAAACTATATAGAAATGTGTCACGACGCAGTGGAATCAGGCCCTTGTCAATATTTGGGCAAGTGGAGTTATTAGCAGCATCTTAAAGCTTGTTCACTTGTCTTGTTTTCAATTTAACCCCCCCCCCCCAACCTATCTTGAATAGAAGTCAAGATATTTGCAATTGATGAAGGTGGAGATCACCTGCGTCTGAGGTAAAATAAGCGAGAAAATGCAGCCAGTTAGGTGATTTCCAAAGCTTGGGGGTCTCTGAAAACTGCTCTTTTACCATTTATGTGCCGCTTATCAACGTTTTTCAGTAAAAATCTACACAGAAATTTTTTAAAAAATGGACATAAAAGATGTTGAGACCAAAAAAAGAAGAAAAAAAAAAAGAAAAATCGAAAAAATTTGCCCAGCGGCCAGAAAAACGCTCTGATTTCATTATTTTGACGAGAGCCTGATTCCATCTCGATGCCTCACAAATGCTCTATGACTACAAAAAGAATCATCATCACGTTACGAAATAAATAAGTAGACACCCAGAATTATGTAGTTGGTAAACGTTACCAACAAACTAACCGTTAAAAGGATGAGTGTTCGGGATCTTTGTGAATGGGGTCACACTTGCCGATTACCTGATTGCATATGAGGTGGTTTTCCAAGGCGAGGGCTTAGAATGGGGAAACAACACCACCACCATCACCATCACCACCACCATCACCATCACCATCACCACCACCACCACCACCACCACCAGCAGCAACAACAATAACATCGTTATCATTATCACAATAACAACAGCAACAACAACAAGATCAATATCAGCAACAACATCATCATCATCATCAACAACAGCAACAACAACAACAGCAACAACAACAACAACAACAAAAATAACATTAGCAATAAAGCCCAACTAAAAAGACAAAAAAAACCACCACAACAACAATAACAAAAAAGTCGGTCCTCCTCCTTAACATTTATTTCAACTTTCCCCCTGACACGACTAGCTTGTTATCAGTTGATACCTGAAAATTCTAGATGAATGATTGGCCTGCCACAGGTCCATTAAATACTGAGGTGCGGTCTTGTCAATGTATTTAAAACAGATGCTGGCAAGCTTAATGATATTTGTACTCTTTGACCTGCAAATAACGAAGTCTCGTCAAAATGGCTGTTATCCTCTATGTCTTCTTTGTCATCGTGATCAATCTTGCTGGGTTGGATGATCTGGAGGTTTTAAATCTTACTTTGGCTCAGCCCAACAGACAACGAGTTACAATAAATGCAACAACAGCCACTTTCTGTACGGGACTGTCGTGCTAAAGGAAAGCGCCCTTGCTGTTCCCTCGTTCACACATCCATCATTTGCAAAAGACTTGGGTATTTATTATAGTTTGCTTCAACGAAACAACTCTAAAAACTAACGAAAGAACTTGGGGTCGAAAAAAAAACCTCCGCCAAAAATATTTGTAGTGTTTTGTTTTCTTAAAAAGGTAGATTAATTTACGCCCAATCGACACAATTTAGATCTTTAAGGAGGCAGGCTTCCGACCCTGCCAACCTGGGCTGAGAAGGACAAACCATCCCAACAGAAAGACCGAGATACTGGACAAATTTTCAAAACCACACTTGGTAATCGAACTCCGGTGTCCTGCGTGAGACAGCGATGAGCCTGACCGCTTCACCACAGACGCTGGGCTTCTGACATAAAGGGCAGACTTGAGGAAATGAGGGGGATAAGAAGGAAAAGCTTTGTGACAGGCCCGCCACGTATTGCGTGCATCGTCAAATCGCTCACAAAAGATTGTCGTCCAGCTGAGAGAGCCTAGGTTCCGTAATTCACCCCGGGAGGAAGAAAGAAATATCGCTAAATGGTGTGAGCTGGATGCAGCGCAGAAGATTGCTACACCACTCCCTCTTCCTTTCTTTGTTTCTTTGTTTCTCTCTTTTTCTCTCCTTCTCAATTTCCCTCCCTTCCACGGTTCTCCCATATTTGTCTCTCACCCTCTCTCTCTTTCTTTCTTTCTTTCTTTCTTTCTTTCTATTTCTTTCTTTCTGTTTTTCCTTCATTCTTTCTGTTTTTCTTTCTTTCTGTTTTTCTGTTTTTCTTTCTTTCTTTTTTTTTTCTTTCTTTCTTTCGTTCTTTTTTCTTTCGTTCTATCTCTCCCCCTCTCTCTCTCCCTCTCTCTCTCTCTCTCTCTCTCTCTCTCTCTCTCTCTCTCTCTCTCTCTCTCTCTGAGTATGTACATAATAAAATGGCGCTCAAATGACCTTATGCAGTTGCGAGCGCGGTAAAACCTCTACTAAAACTAAATATAATAAAAGTAGGCATATTAATCTATCCAAAGATAAATTGAGAGAGAGCGAGCGAGAGAGAGAGAGAGAGAGAGAGAGAGAGAGAACAAAAGTACCCTGTTAAACTGCAGATGTAGCACCACCCCTGTAACCAAGTGAACAAACAAAACAAAACAAAAAAGTACAATTACATGGTTATTTTAAACCAAAAATAAAACGACTAATAAACAAGCAAACAAAACAAACAAAACAAATAAACTATTTAAAAAATTCAATTACTTGGTTAAACTGCGTCTGTTGTAACGCTTCGTTAAAAAAAAAACAAGAAAAATAAATAAACGAACGAACAAACAAAACAAACAAACAACCAAGATCAATTACAATAATCGCTTGTTTAAACTGCAGCTGTTACAATGCCTCCTTAAACGAACATAACAAACAAATAAACACAAATAAACAAACTACTCGTATAAAAGTGCAATTACCTGGTTAAACTGCAGATGCTGCAGAGCCCCTGTTTCAACCCTGTCGGGCCATACCCAACGTTTGGGTTGTGTGTTCATGGAGGGGAACGGGTTTCGGCCCGGATTACCTCCTCTTGACCCAGGGGCTGATGGGATCACCGGAACTTCCCGGGGTACGGGGTCTACTTTCGCTTTTGGCGTCTCCTTCTTTAGGATAGGAAGTAGGTTGCTCACTGTGGACGTGGAGATTTAAAAAAAAAATTTTAGTAGAGGTTTTACGGCGCTCGCAACTGCATAAAGTTATATGAACACCAGATGATTAGAGGTGTTACTAGGGAGTAACAAACAAACAAAAAAGAAGGAGGGGATATAAAGACGATAGTTGTTTGATAGGAAAGAAGAAACAAACCACACCAGAGCACCCACCAACCACCCACACGTGGAGATAGACGTAGGCGTTTGAGATTGGGAGTTGGGGAGTGGCGACAGGGTGGAAAGTGACAGATAGAGAGAGGGAGAGAGAGATGGG